GACCAGGGTCTCACCTGTGTAGACTCCTACCGGGTTCATAGTTGTAGGCGCTTCCTGGTTCCTTGGCTCATAGCTGATCTCGGGCACTCTTGTGTTCCCTTTTGTGTGTGCTTGTGTGTGTCTATTCTTGTGTTCCCTTGTGTGTGTGCTTGTGTGTGTCTATTCTTGTGTTCCCTTGTGTGTGTGCTTGTGTGTGTCTATTCTGATCTTCACATAACTCAGGTGAAAAGGCGTAGAGTCTATGTGAGCCTGATATGACCTTGTTAACACACAAAAGGAAATTTTTCCAAACAATCTTAAGTTTATGTTCACGCACCCCGCCCACATCCCCAGCCCCCTACCCCACCCCCACCCATCCCAACCCTCTCCATCCAGTCTATTCCAGCTCATAGCGACCCTACAGGACAGAGCAGAAATTCCTTCAAGCTTTCCCACACTGGATGCTTCAGGCAGCAAACTGCCTTACCTTCTCCCATGCAATGGGTTAAAACTGCTGACTTTTTGGTTAGTCTCCCAACACTTAACTAATTACCACCACAGCTCTTTTTTTTTTTAAATTCTAGGAACAAGCAAAACCAAACCAAACCAAACCAAAAAAAAAACCCTCACTGCTTTTGAGCCCATTTTGATTTGTAGTGGCTCTTTAACAGATCTCCAAAAGCTAAAAATCTCTTCAGGAAGAGAAAGCTCATCTCTGTCCCTCAGAGCACCTGGTGGATTCGAACTATAGACCTTGCATTACGTTTTCAGCCCAGCATGTTATGTACTTTGCAAATTGAGATTTCATTGCATATCCTGGGAGGGAAGAGTGCAATTCAATCAGTGCTACCACTCAATGTTGAAATGCTTCTTTTTAAAACACATGAACTAGGAGCTTTTCATACTTAATTTGCTACAAAGGTCCCCTCTTCCTTGTCTCTGTGCTAACTACACATGTGAGCTCTGCTTTCTACACTGACAGTGAGCTCTTGGAAATGTTCCTGTCCCTCATATTCACTTGTAGTCTCCACTGCCTCCCACAGTGCCTGGATTACAGTCTAGCTCAACAAGTAAGTAGAAAACATATGAATGTGTCACCTTATTTCTCTCTGTATTGTCAGAGCAATTCAAAGCAACACACAGCTGAACCTCCAGCGAGTTTTTCAGAGGCAGTAAATCACATGGAAGGAGATTGTCCATCTTTCTCCTGTGAAGCAACTTGTGGATTCGAACCCATGCCTTTTGCTTGGCAATGCCATTCCTTACTATGAGGTCATCAGGCCTTCCCTGTGGCCAGGGCAGGGTCAGGAGGGAGGACACCTTGGAGTGGCTGGAGGAAAGCTGGAGAGGAGAGTACAGGCTCTCTTAGACCTCTTCTCTGTTTGCCTCTTGTCCAGACCTCCATTCGCCAGGATACAGCCAGGCGGATCCCACGTCTCTGTGACCGCAAAGTCCTGATCAGCATAGCTCCTGCCCACATTTTTCCTTTGTTATTTCACATATTCTGTGTGCTGTCCAGTCAATTGCAATGACAGAGTGTAACTTGTCCGTGAGCTGATGTCTTCACAGGGGCCAATCCCCAGGCCTTTCTGGTCGGGTCGGACTGCATATCTTTCAGTTAACAGTTGAATGCTGTAACTATTGCACCACTGGGACCTTTTGTAATAAACCAGACTCTCAGATTGGGAATTCTGAACTGGGTCAATCTCTGCTTGGTCTGGACTAATTATTTTATCTCAGGGGCTTAGTACAGAGTTAGCGCTATGTCAATGAGTGTATGAGTCCGATGAGTGGGGCAGCTCAGGGGAGCAAGGTCCAGCTAAAAGAAGTCGGGGGAAACACTGGGCAATAGACGCTAACTCTAGTTTTGGAATAATCTCTGCTGGCTTTGTGGGTAAGGAGATGCACTGCTCACCCAAAGGCAGTACCTCTCTTGTGATTTGAATTCACGCGTGACTCTCAGAGAGGATGGGCTCTCTCCTCTTACATATTTACAGCCTCTGAAAACCCACAGGAGGTTCAGCTATGAGTTGATTCCTACTTGAGAGCACTGTGTGTGAATTTGGGGTTTTGGGTAAACAAAATTTTGGTTAGAGGGTGAAAGGAATACCATATAACTGTGTCATCTGTTTTTTCTTTTTTAAAGAAGAAATACGTCTGTCTTCTTTCAAGGTTTTTGTTTTGCTTTGCTTTTATTAATGGGAATTCCAGGGTGACTCTTGCCATTCCTTAGTTTACTTTTTAGGTAAAGGTGATGCACTGATGAGGACGCAGCGAAGAGACGTCTTCACAAATCTGACGCTCAATTCCTTTTCCTCTTCCTCAGCCGCCTTGTTTAACACCAACGACTTCCCTTTCCTAGTCACCTTCTGTTGAATTAGGACTGGAGTTTTCAGTAGAGCATGCACACTCAGTTTTCCTCAATGACATGGATTGACGCAGTGATTGCAGCAGTCTCTTGAGCTCGGCAGAAATCACTATGATGAAGATGCTGGATAAGGAATATTTCAAGTCTGTTCTTCATAGAGTCGTAGTCAGCTCGGTGGCACCCAACAACGGTTTCTCTCAGAGAGGACAAGAGCTCTTCTTAGTTCCTTTTTGAATCTGTCAGAGAAACTGACACTATAGTCATTCTTGTCATGTCCCAAGCCCACCGTGAGCTCTGAAAAGACATCCAGACTTACCGACATAATGGCTCTAAGTCCTGTGTTGGCCCCACTTCCTGTCCAGTATGTGAAAGTACCCCTAGCACAGGAAACAGGTCTTACACACTTGTCTTACTGAAATCCTTTGGGGTCTTTGTGCTGCCAACCCAAAGGCACACAATTCAAATCCATCAAGTGCTTCACAGTGGAAAAATGGGCAATCCCCTTCCATGCGATTTACTGTCTCTGAAAACCTGCTGGAGGGTCAGCTACGGCTCGATTCCAACTCAGCAGTACACAACAAAAACTATGACTGGTGACAACAGATTTCAAAGATTCAGAGGAATCAGAAAAGGTGTTAGAGTTGGTTTCCACACCACTATTTATAAGCAGCCTCCATTGACTGTCTTGGGGAACTGAGAGAGTCAAATGACAGGCAATATTTTTTTTAAAAAAGAAGAAAAAATATTGGTTAAAACAAATGACAAATGGTGTTTCTCATTTCGTCTCAGTCAGCTGTGCCTTGGTTAACAATAACATGGATTCTAAGCATATTTATTACAAGTGGAATTTCTCTCTTCCCATGGGATTCTGGCAACATAATGGCACATTTTAAATAGTTCATTATTACAGACAAAGAGACTTATCTAACTAAGGCTTTCCCCCCTAGAAACCACTCATTGCTATTAAGAATGAAGCAGATATTTAAAATACTGGAAAGGGGTTTACATCCAGCATCAGTCTTGAAGGGTTAGCAGGGATAGGAAGAATGAGGGAAGACAGTAACAATTAATAAATCAACAAGTTGGGGAAAGGAAATATAAAACAAGGATTTTGCTTGGATCTCATAATAAATTTATCACAGTAATCAGTTGTCGTTAATGTTACAAAGCAAAATGCCTATGAACCAGTGAATGAAAAGCTAACATGGTTTGTAAACTTTCACTCAAAGACAAATAAGGATGAAGAGATGAAGAAGAAGGTGGTAAATGCTTGGGGAACAGATTCCAATGAGCCGTTTGTCAGGAAGCAAAAATTCTTGATCGGCACTACAAAAAGGAGGACGCCTTCCAGAAATATCAGGAATGATGAGAGCAAGGAATGTGGCCATTAGATAAAAAAGGAGAGACATGTAAGCAAGCATTGGATGCATTCCTCAGGCAGCTAATGTATGAGGGTTGTGGCAAATTGACCAGACTCAATACTAGGGCTTCAGTTTTTAGGTGTGTTTCTTTCCCATATCTTTGTCTAATAGATGACATTTTTGAGTGATAGCCATTTAACACATTTTTTTTTAATCCCAGAAGGCTCGTGTTTATTTATCTTGGCCATTAGTTACTACAGAATTGGGCCAGATGATGTGGATTCTTTAATGGAAAGAGGCTGACCAGTCAGCTTTGTTGATGTCCCGCACTGTTCAAACCTGACCTGCCTCTTGGAATCCACGTCCTCATGTCTGGCTCTTGTGGAAAGAAAGAGGAAGGGAATGAAAGAAAACAACAGGATGGCTTGAGAAGGACATCTTTCAGTCCTTCCCAAAGACAGGTCAGCTGTGTGTCTGTTCCTCTGGAGTCTTCTGGGGAAATTTGTGAACAATTGAAAGAGTTCATCTGACCACTTGTGAAATTCAGAACTCATTATTTGATTCGCACTGGGAGGAGACTATCTTGAGAATTATGTGTTTACTTGTATGGAAATGGAGAATGCATTCCCCTTATTCTGGTACCGTAGAAAAGAAAAAAAAATTCCTAATCCACATTTAAGGGACCCTGCGTTCTCTGCTGAGTGGTGAATCTAGTTATTCCTTTTTGGTCCCTACAGTAGTGACGTACTCCTTTTTTTGGGGGTGGGGGAGGGTGGTGTGTGTGTGTGAACACGAATGTGTTAATAGTCTTCACAAAGGTCTAGGAATTTGCTAAGTGTATCCCTTCGATTTTTTACCTGATGTATTTTTCTATAATAGTGTGTCTTGTCACTTCTTGACTGAAGCTGGTGGATAGCAATGTTAGTTGGGCCTGGTCTTTCCAATGACAGCGATGGGAAATTGGGGCAGAAGAGGTGTTGTTTTGACTCATTACTGGTCTCTCAATCTCAGAGGACAGCTGAACTGCCAGCTAATTACCTCCTGGGGTCCTGGCTTTCGCTGAGATCTTCTAAAATACACAAAACCCAAGTGGACACAGGATGCCATTAGCAATAGATAATGTAAGTAAATAAGAAATGTGTTTACTTTGCCTGGCTTTGGACACCTGCCTTCCTATCCCACAGATCAGGTATCTATATAAAGAATCTCCTTACTCTAAGTCCAGTAGAGATTGATCTTCTGCTTGGACCTTACCATCTGTGAGTCTGAAAAGAAGGCTGGGCCCTAACAGCATGCCTCTCCTGCTACTTCAACTGCTGGTGGTCTTCCCTCTGGGGTCGACAGGACAGCACCAAAATGACCACCACAGTCAGGGTTCTCTCTCCTTCGCACTTGCAGAAGGGAGTGTCCGCGACTACCCCGAAGGCAGCCTGGAGGACGAGGCTGAGGAGAAGCCAGATCTGTTTGTGGCGGTGCCACACCTTGTGGGGGCCACCCCAGCAGCCTTGGAAAGCCAGGGACACAGAGGGAAGGTGCTGTCCAGGTTTGACAGGCTCCGGAAGCAGCCTGAGAGTGAGCGGCATCTCCCTGAAGATCCTGTCAGCAAGCAGCTCATGGCCGGGGCCCCCGCGCTCACTCACCTACTGGCTGGGAGACACCCGGAGAAATCTCCTCAGCAGGCAGAGGCCAAGAAATTCTGGCACCGCTTCCTGTTCAGGAAGAGTCCGTCTTCGAAGGGAGTCATCTTGCCCATCAAAAGCCATGAGGTGCATCGGGAGACCTGTAGGACAGTGCCCTTCAGCCAGGTATGTGTGCTGGGTGGAGGCTCAGGTGTCCCTGAGCGTGGTGGACAGCGGGGAAGGCGGGAGAGGAGAGGATGAAGCTGCCTGGAGCCTGGGCCCAACTCAACTCCTAGGTTTGGTCCTGAGGCAATCATCACAGAATTTCACACAACATGGTCATATTCTCTCAGCCCCCTTGCAACCTTTCCGTTGCTTGTTGATATAGTGGATGAAGTGCCAAGGATGGGATGATGGCGTTGCCACGTTTGCTGTTAAGTGCCATCAAGTTGAGTATGACACATAGAAACTCTATGAACAACAGATTTGAACCCTTCCCTGACCTTTGTCATCTTTAACATTTCTGACACGCTTGAGCCCATTGCTGCAGACACGATATCAATCCATCTCACTGAGGGTCTCCCGGTCTTCTGTTGATCCTTCACCTTTTCAAGCATGATGTCCTTTTCCAAAGAACAGCCTGTCGTAGCAACACACCCAAAGTACGTGAGAGGAAGCTTTGTCATCTTTGCCTCCTAGGAGCGCCCTGGCTGCACCTTCTCCGATATCAATCGTGATTCTTACTCACGGGAAAAAGCTTTGTGCTATGGGATTTTATTTCTAAATTTTTACTTGATGGATGAGCTGTGCTGAAAAATAAGTGACACTTGTGGTTGGAAAACTGGGGAGTGGAAGTATTCACCAGAACTTCTCTCGAGTCAAATCTCTGCACCCTAAGAGTTAGAGGAGCAAGGCAACATCACCTGTGGATCTGGGGCTCCTCTGAACCCCTCCCTGAACCTCCACACGCTTCACCTTTAACTGCACTGTGGGTTTATAAAGCTCGTTGACGTTCTCAAAAGTTACCATGTCATTTAAAATATTACCGTAGCCAAAGAGCACAGTTTAATTTTTTTAAGTGCAATTTTTTTTAAAAGCCTTGATGTGAAGTTACATTTCCTCCTTTAACAATATCACATATTTCCTCATTCCTATCTCACTGGCTGGTCTTTGGTGATTGTGATCAATGCCAGGCTACCAGGCTAAAGGTGTGAGGATGGCACAGGACAAGGTTTCCATTTGTTGTTCCTAGGGGATTCTGGTGGCCTAGTGTAAGAAGTTGTGCTGCAATTCCAAAGGCAAGTGGTTCAAATCCACTAGCTGCTCTACATGGGCAATCTTCTCCTGTGTGATTTACTTACTGCCTCTGAAAACCTGCTGGAGGGCCAGCGATGGGTTAGTTCTGACCTGATGACACATAACATTGACAACCCGGTTACCCTGAGTTACTCTTGACTTGACAGCACCTAACAACACCAATCAGAGCAATACATAGGGGCTTTCTACTGTCTTCAGTCTGGGCACCAGATGCTGAAATAGGGATTACTGAACCAAAAGGTAGAGTAAAAATTTATGGTCCAGTCATGCTACTCAATTAAGTGGGCAGGATTACGAGATCCTTGGGCAAGGTGCTTAAGTGTCCAACTTGAAAAGACAAGAATATGTAGCAATGACAAGTCAGTTATTAAATAATAATGACTATTCTGTTGGCCCACGTGCAATTTAAAAATTGCCTCTAAAATCCAGTCAACCAAATTTCCTTTGAAAGTATTATTTTGAAAACGATTGCTTATTAAATTAAAATGGAAGTGCTTGGCTTTGAAGAGCCTGTGACACTAGGCGCATGGGGTAAGAGCCGAGGCAGTGATGTGGTGAGAATGTGTGATGGTTTGTAGACATAGGTGTCATGATTTTGCTATGCAGGGCTGAATGTCCCGCCAAAGCCAAACACCAAAGCCACAACTGATGCCACTGAGTCAATTCTGAGAACACAGTGTCTGAGGCGGTGATGTTTACAGCAGCTGACTGCCACACAGTGGCATCTCCCACAGAGTGGCTGGGGGGACAAACACAGGCTGACCTTTCTGCATCCAGCTGAGTGTTTAACCACCACATCACCAAGACTTCTCTTGCACCGCCAGAGCCCAAATTAGACTGCGTATACCCTATGTCACCCTATGACAGAAACTAGCATTTTAATACTCTGGTGAGGTCCATTAGGTATTGAGGGAGTTGATGGATTATGATCAGCAGTCTTTCGATTGGCTGCTGTGTGTATAACTTTGAATATGCTAACACCCACCTCCAGGGAGTGATGGTTTGATGGCTTAAGAAGCTGCTTTGTCCGCCCAAAGGCAAGGGGTTTGAATTCTTCAGCAGCTCCTCAGGGGAGAGTTGAGCAGTCTCTCATGTGAAGCACAGCCTGGAAAACCTACTGGAGGGTCAGCTGTGCATGAGCTCCGACTTGAAGATACCTCACAACCACTACTCCAACACTACCTCCCGTCACTGAGAGGACTCTGACACACAGCGACCCTGTAGGACAGAGTAGGATCACTCAGAGGTTTCCAGGCTGTAAATCTTTATGGAAGCAGACTCTGTTCTTTCTTCTGAGGAGTGGGTGGTGAATTTGGACAACTGACCTTGGGAGCTGTGGTGACCTAGTGGCAAAAAGTTGCACTGCAGTCCCAGAGGTGCACAGTTCAAATCCATCAGAGGCTCTGCTGGAGAAGGAGGGACAATCTTCTCTTATACCAGTCAGCTCCGATTTGATGGTACACACAAAAAAAAAGAATGAAATTAAACAAATGAATAAACAACTAACCTTTTCCATTGGCAGCCAAATTTTTTAACCTTAAGGCTTCTTTGAATGTATTAAACAACCTACAGAATAGAAAATAATGAAACTCCAGATGCTCTGATCTACTCTGTGATCACCAAAAAGCGCACAATGAAAACATATTCTGCAAAATGCTCTGTGAGTGGAAAGGTGAGACCCACTATCTGCATAAGGAGCTGGCTGTGAGACTTCCTTGACTGCTATCAGCCAACTGGGCAAAGTTTTTTAAGGCACAGGATTTTAAATAATGCTGCTGTTGATAGACACCAACAATCTTCTCTAATTCATGGTGACGCTGTGCACAGAAAAATGAAATCTTGATCTGCTCCATCTTCAACAACCTTTGTTGGAACCACTGTGTCAACCATCTCCTTGACGTGTCCCCCCTTTTTTATCACTTCTTCACCAAGCATGGTGTCTTTCTCCAGGGACTGCTCCCACACCCCCAACATGCCTCACATACATGAGATGAAGTCTTCCGTCTTTGCTTCGAATAGACTATTTTAATCAAATGGGCAATCTCCTTGCTTGCAATTAAGTGCTTCTCAAAACCCACTAGAAGGTCAACTATGGATTGGTTCCAACTCGATAGTACACAACAACTACAACATATTAGCCTTAGCCTTTCTAAAGAGCTAATTTATTAGCTGAGAGTCTCTGGTTTGTGCAAATGGTTAGTGCTCTGAGTTGCTAACGGAGAGGTTGGAGATTTGAGTGCACCTGAAGGTGCCTGGGAAGGGACGGCTTGAAATCTGCTTCTGGAAAATTAGCTGCTGGGAAGCCAAGGAAGCATAGTTCTGCTCTGACATAAGTGCGATTACTTTGAAACAGTGTTAGAACAATGGCAATTGGATTTAAAAAAAAATCTTGATTTACTCAACAAAGAGAGTTGGTTGCACAGTGTTATACCTTGGTAAACGCCACCATTTAGAAATTGTATACTGTATCAAAAGTTGCAGAGTTTTGGAATTTTAGTCTAAATTATCTTCAAATTTATAGTCTATATCTCCTGCATTCTGTGTATTAAATAATGTCTAAACTGCTATGAACATTGGCGTATACCAGTGTTCATAGCAACATTATTCACCATCGCAAGAACATGGAAACAGCCCAAATGTCCAACCACAAACGAATGGATTGAGAAATTATGGTACATTCACACAATGGAATACTATACAGTATGCAGGAGCAATGACTTTGTAAATTATTACCTAACTTGGGAGCATTATGCTGAGTTAACTAATTCAGTCCGACAAGGATAAATATTGCATAAAACTGTTATTGTAGAATGAGTATAAAGATCCAGGAAGGGGTGGGAGAGGCTGGAAGCAGAGGAATGTGGATGTGTAGGGGGAGAATGGGGATTAATCATTGGGTTATACAATTTGATGGGTGGGGAGGTGAGGGAAATTAAAAAAATTTGTTCAAATTAACTAGTGGAAGGAAAAAAATAAAAATTTTTTAAAAAGAAAAGTGAAAGTGTTTGCACATATACACACACACACTCATAGAATATTTAAAGGTAACTGAGGGCATGTGTTTGTCTTCCAGACCATCACCCATGAAGACTGTGAGAAAGCCGTTGTCCGGAACAACCTCTGCTTTGGGAAATGTGGGTCTGCTAATCTTCCTGGAGCCGTGCAGGGCCCCAATACCTTCTGCTCCCACTGCTTGCCCACCAAGTTCACCATGATGCACTTGCAGCTGAACTGCGTGGGTCTGGCTCCAGTGGTCAAGGTCGTGATGCTGGTGGAGGAATGCCAGTGCCAGGTAAAGACGGACCACGAGGATGGGCACCTCGAGCTGCCTGGCTCTCAGGCCCAGGATTCCTTTATCCCAGGATTTTCAGCATAAATAGATATCCTACTATGATTGTCCACACACAAAGGCACAACAACGAAGTTGCTAATTCTCAGTCTGGAAATATTAGGCAGGAACAGATCTTTTTAAGGGAAAGGTGACTTTAAAAGCTATCATTGTCTAGAAGAAATGGTATTGGTCTAGTTGTCAGTCTCGGGGTTTGCCTTCCAGTCTTCACTTGTCTGCTGGTCAACCACAACTGATTGCTGATTGTAGGATGTTCACCCCAAGTCACAGATGCTCATGGCATCTCACGATTTTCATCTCTAATGAGGAGATGGGGCTACATAATCGCTAAAACCCTTTCCACGACTAGTATGCCATGATCTCTTGTCTTCAAGTTTTGGTAACTACACTTCATCTAAGGATGAAGAAAAAGAAACAAACCAAGATGTGGGAAAATGGGCTTCTTTGAAAGTTTGTTAAAAAAAATCAGCAAAAATCTTTGAGATGTTTTTAGAAAGGATTCCTCAAACTTGTAGCTGCTTTTGTGTCCTAAGTGATGTAGACTTTGACTCAATCAAAACGGTTAAGTGTTTTCATAGATCTAAAGAGGAACTTGCTTGTGGTTCCTTGCTGTTGATACGCCCCATCTGAAGAGCTCAGTGTTAGGTCTACAAGCTTTAGGAAGGAACGCTGACATTGCCTTTAGTGCTTTGCCTAGATATGGAGGAATAACAGCAAATGGCCAAATAGGATCCTATATATGAGAAAGGAGAAAGATGATCTATACCATGTTTAAATGGCAATCAAAGATAGTAGTGAAACTTACAAGAAGATGGCGAATTATTGAAATTTTAAATAATTTGAAACTGGATCAAGTAACATAAAATCCCTGATGCACTTGCATTTTGGAATAGATCATGAAGTTTCTGTTTGAATGACTGATTTTTGCTACCAGAGACACACAATTTTATTCCACGAATTTTATCATTCCAAGATCTGAGAATATTTGGAATATTTTAAAGTATTAAATTTAAGTGAATGAAGCATTCTGGAAATGTCTTGTGTTATTCCTATATTTCATAGTATCTTTATTTGTTTTGTCTGTCTTGAAATGCAAAGAGAGATCCACTATGTGACTTGTAAGTTTACAAAGCCTATAGGTTTCTCATTCTACCATTCATGCACATTTTGTTTTATAACATTACTTAGCAATGCTCACGTCTAATCACCCCTTCTTGTATATTGCCTTTCCCATCACTTGACTAGGAGTATTTTTTAAAACATGCCTAAGACTTAAATCTTTAAGGGCTTAACCTTGCAGGCAGCATCCTGCTAAGATCCTTCAGTCACTCTCTCTTACTTATTGTATTGCTTTTGCCTGTATTTATTTTTTATACACATTTTGTATGGAACTTTCCCAACCTAATTTCTTTTTTCTTTTAGAGATATGTTTTTAAAAATTTAAAAAATTATTTGACTCCTTTCTTTTCTGTGGGAGCTCCAATGGCCTAGTCTGTAGAGTTGTGCTGCTACCAGAAGCTGCACATCTCTGCTGGTTCCAATCCACCAGCGGCTCTGTGGGAGGAAGACAAAGAATCCTCTCCGTGTAATTCGCACTCAGGAACCCAGGGAGGGTCAGACAGGAGGTGGTTCCAATTAGAAAGCAGTGAGTTTGACTTTCAGTTCACACACAAAGTTTCCTAGAATAATGTCTTTCTCTCCCTTTCTTAGGAGATCAGTTTACATTTTAGCATCTATTCCTTTTTTGGCATCCTGTCTAGCACTGTGTGCAGAAGAACAAATGCATTTATATTTAATGTGTATTCTAAAACATATCAGTGTGTTAGATGTACACTATACAGACACATATGTGGCTTTTACATCAGGATATATTGGTCCCTTTGGTGAGCAAAGGCTACCTAATTGACCAAGATGTGGTCAGAAGGATGAAACCGTTAAGCATTAATGATATCCCAGCTGGTCAATATATTTTTGTGCCAAAAGCTATTGAACAGCTGTGTAATTTGCAATTGCCTAACTGATTACACGAACCCGTCTTTTCCAACTGGATTATCCTTTCCTTCCTTACCAAAAACTACACCAAACCCAATCTGCACTCTTAGTGACCCTGAAGCACAAGACGGAACTGCCTTAGTGGTTTTCTAAACCTGTCAATCTTTACAGAAGCAGACTACCTTTTTGTTTCTTCTGCAAAACAACTGGTGGGTTTGAACTGCCAGCCTTTTGGTTATCAGCTGAGCACTTAACCTACACCACAATTGGCTCCTCTTCCCCTCCTCATACATTGGTTTATAAACCCCTTCTGTCAATCTTTGCAGATATACCTGCAAACCCAAGCAGGACTTGTAGGTCAGGAAGTAGAGTAGAAACTCTAGCAAAAGGTTATAGTCTAGGCATCAGAACCTCTTTTCCTTTAGGAAATCTTAGTGTTTGTTCTTAAAATCTTTAACTGGGTAAGGTCTGTTAGATTATTTTAAGTCAACTGATCATAACTGTTAATCACATCTATCATTTCTTGGCAACATCTAGACTAGTATTCGGCTGAATGATTGGATAGCATAGCTTAGCCAAGTGGGCATACAATATTAACTACCACAGTAAGATAGCCTGGGAAGACTGGAACGCTAGCAAGCAGATTTTAAGAATGTATTTGATAGGCAGTGGAGAACACGGGGGAAAAAACTTTCAGGCTTTTTTCAGCAGATTGTTGTTAAGTGCCGTTGAGTCATAGACGATTCATAGCAACCCTATGAATGAAAGACCTGCACACTTACATAACTTTCATCATTTCAGCAGATTAGGATTATATAGACGTCAGAGCTGTGACTTGATGACACATAACAACAGGTATATGAGAGGGGCTTCATGAGCTCCCCAAGACATGTGTAAATGCTTTGCAAAACATGGGTATATAAGGAGGAAAAGACTTAAATTTTCATAAGCTTCCTAAATATTTCCATGAGTCAAAATTTGGATCCCTGGAATCCGTGGGTATAGAATTAGAGAAAGCATGAGGTTTCAGAAAACTGAGGTCAAAGTCCTGGAAATCAACTGGTACAAATCTCTTTCAGCCCAAACTCAGAAGAGTCAGCTTTTCATTTTAGGAACAAAGGATTACTTTGAAATCTTATCAGTAGGTCCTATTTGCTTTATTTAATCTGAAGTTCATATTCAGGGGACTGCAGTGGTGAAAAGTTCAGTAATTACACTCTAAGGAACAGACTTTCCTGTAATACTGGTTTTCCAGAGGCAGCTCTCATTTATCCACCCATGATTCCTGAACAACTCTCAGGCTCTCATTTTATTCTCTTCCTCCTTATGACTCAATCTTGTTTCTCCTCTTTCCCTCCAAAAGACACAGTCCCCACTGACTTACCTGTGGGTGGGGACCAGGGTTAATGTTCTTCAAGGAAATTTTCACCACTTCCTCTTACTTACCAGCTAAGGTTGACACACCTCTTTTATATCCTATAGCCAAAGAACAAGATTTTCCAGTAAGCATGTTTTTATAAGTCGCATCCACATTACTAAATGGAAACTTGTGTTCTGCCCAATCCTCAGGTTAGAAAGAGGTGAAAATGTAATGGACAGATAGGTCCTGGGTTAGACACCAGCTCAAGCAGCAGCAGCATGCAGGATGCTCTTGTCATGGGCTCTGGAATCATTGAGATTCAGCTCCTACCTCCACTGTATGAACAGTTTCACATGCTCCACTAGTAACTGAAATGTTGAAGATGACCTTTGGAAGGAATGCCTGGTGATACTCTTCTAAATTATCAGCCATCGAACTTCCCCGTTAGTACTTTTCCGATGTACATGGGTCACCTGAGTGAGAATCAACTTCATAACAACTGGTTAACTGGTTGGTACATAAAGCAGCAACAGTATCCACAATACCAATGCCCTGTAGCTTGCTTGTCAAGACCAAGAGAGCACAATTACTTTGAGCTTACAGTTGGAAGATCTCTCAAATAAACAGATATTAACAGGAACATTAAAAAAAAACACCAACAAAACAAAAAACCCAGCACTAATAATAATAGCAATGTCTTGTAGCCTTTCAGAACCATGAAAACACAGTGTGAACTTATAGTCAAAAAGTCTCTTAAATGTGCAGATATCAACCTGAACATAAAGCAACAACAATGTCCTGTAGCTTTCCACAGCAGTGTACAGAACATAGAGTTGAACATAGAGTTGAAGAGTCTCCCAAATGCAGTGAAGACACTACAACCCCATTCTACTGCTGGTTCCCTTAAGAGATTCTGAACCCCAGCATTGCTCTTAGGACAGTGACAAAGCAGGTGGAACTGTCTTTGAGTCTGTGTTTCTGATTTCATCCTATGCTCCCCTTTCTTACCTATTCTTAATATCTTTCATATTAAAATGATCTCCAATTGTCCAGGATTGCGCCTTTAAATTCATTCATCTGTCTAGCCTTCCGTGTGTTTGGATTTATCTAGTTAGCACTTATTTCGAATCTATTAAGTGTCAGGCACTACTCTGTCAGAGGGATTCTAGCATCCCTCTGACAGCCCCCCCTTTTACCCTCAAGGAATCAGATTTGCCTGGATGGAGTTTCATTCTACAGTTTCTTTGCATCTTGACATTTGACTAGGTATTGAAACTACACATGAGCTTTTTTTTTCTATTTTATTGGGAAAAACATATTGGGGGTACAAGGAGGTGAGGGTTGGGGCAGAGGGGTGAGGATGGGCAGGGATGCAGTTGCAGAGCTGCAGAAATTGGTTGGTGGGTTACACATGAGCTTTTAAAACACAGACACTCTGTTCCAGCAGGTTGACGCGAGTGGGAAGAGCAAACAATAGTCTCTGTATTTTCAAAGCCCCACAGGTGATTTGTTGCTGGGAGCTTCACTGTTAACCCAAGGGCTGATGTGGCCAGAGACTGGACTCCACCAGCAGCTCTGAGGGAGAAGCAGGGGCAGCCTTGTCCCATAATTCACAGCTTCAGAAACCTGGTGGAGGTTGTCATGAGTCAGAAATAACTGGATGGTATGGAGTTTC